AAAAAAAACAGTATAATTCAGTATTATGTACTATATTCATAATGTAGTGCAGCGTACTATAGTGGCTCTGGCTCAGCTCACAAGATCCTTACCTTAAAGTTTGACTTGCAGATGGTTGCAGCCTCTGCCATGCCCTGTCCTGGAAGAGCCAATGGCAAAAGTTGCTTGTAGTTAAGTATTACATATTACAGCTGGACCAAGGCTTTGTACACTATCATCATTGATCTTTGTACAGTATCATTCAGCTCGGCTGTAAAGTAATTAGGTATAGGTACTCAACTAGTGTAATTTATTTTCAAACTTGAGGTACTTGCGTATTTTCATTTTCTGCTACCTCTAATTCAACACATTACATTGTTTTCTTTATTCCACTACCGTTATCTAACAGCTGAGTACAGGAACAGTGAGTGCTGGGACATATGGAAAGTCAACCATTTTAAGGTCAAACACCCCAACAGCTGTGTGAGCTGGACAACTTAACATAACAGTACTGACAACAAATCTGCTCCCAGCACAGACTGAAGCTTTTGATTCAACTGTTCATGCAAGCACTAGGTTCAAACAGCAGGTGCTTTCAGCCCAACACAGAGCCGCACCGACTGTCGGCACAGTTTGAAGAACTGGAGAACACTGTTGGGCCAAAAGTAAAACTTTTAGCTAAATGTTTTACATTATTAGTTGTAGTGCCGTCCCTGGTAGACTAGTGGTTAAGGCGCAGCACTTTCGCCGCGGCGCCCCGGTTTCAAATCAGGATTGCATCTGGCATAAAACGTGCCAAATGTCAACATGTGAGTTGTCAGTGTGATGATTGGCTGTGGCGACCCCTAAATGGGAAAAGTTGAAAGTGACTTTCTTTCTTTTTACATTATTAGTTGCACCAAGCATAGCACAGCATAAGAATATAGTGCATGCTTACACAATACAGAAGAAATCTGAAGGTGAGGATGAGGAAGCGGCCAGATTGACAGTGCTCTAGCATTTAAGCATCAGATCTCAAGACGTACAGTATGTCTCACGTAGGGTGTCCTGTATTCTTACATTCTGAAAAAGAGGAGGCTTGGTGTTATGCTAAACTGTATGTGTTTATATTAGTGGAGATCACCTCAGTGAGCCTCACAATTTGATATTTGGGTGTGGATAGTGCCAACTGCGAAGGACAAGCTAAGAAACAACGTTTGGTTTGACAATTCATTGTTTTTAAAGATGGCTGAACAAGAGCAATAAAAGCACACAACTATAATGATTACCATGGATCATCTCAGGTGTTAAACACGCACTGCACCAAGCACAGACACACACACTGCAGCAGTAAACTACATAACCACAGAGAGAAACCATGACAGTCAATCTGATGATATTCACATAGTGTACTGTACCTTTTAGTGACACAAACAGGTTAATATTGAAAGTGTAAGCATCATGGTGTTGCAGGTAGGGGAGGGGCTCTGGATCCTGCAGGAAGAGGAACAGAAACAAAATGAAGAAGTAAAAAAGTGGAGCCACAGAAGGGTTAAATGTCCACTGCATATACCAAAGAGCTTTTCTATTCTCAACAATTAGTGACACAAACAATATGGTTGTCTTAAAGGTGGAGCCAGAGAAGCTGTTGTCCTCTAAATTACAAAGAGGTTAAATACAGATGTACAAATGGTTAGAGGCTCGGCCCTACACTGACAGACTTCCCTCGGCCTGAGCTGTGCTTTGTTATGTTCAGTTCCACATCCATCAGCTGCTGCTGCAGTACACCAGACTGAGGATGCCAGAAACACTATACAAAGCAAGGTCACTGGGTGCTTCTAATTGCATGCACAAATAGTGCATGCATTTTCATACATGGAGATTAATATTCATGCTTTTATTTCATCCCGGTTAGACTATTGTAATTCCCTTTTCACCTGGATCATTAACAAGAGGTCCAGAATGCTGCTGTTATGCTTTGACCTAGTCTCTTTACACTGGCTTCCTATGAAATTCAGTTTCTTTTAAGATTCCTGTGATTGCACTTAGAGCCCTGCATAGTCTGGCACCTGATTACATTAGAGATGTACAGTACTGCAGTCTCCTGTAGCTAAGCTCCTCTAGTCAGGGTTGGTTGTTCCTCGCTCCAGACTCAAAACTAAAGGAGACTGTGCCTTTGACGTTATGGCTCCTCAACTCTGGAGCTCTCTCCCACTGGACGTAACATGTGAGGACACTAGACGCTTTTAAAAAGCAGCTCAAGAGCCAAAGGTTTACACTTGCCTTTGAGTGTTCTTGAAAAAGACTTACGTTAACACAAATCAGAAATATTTTTTTAATGCCAATGTTTTTTGTTTTTTATTTCAGTACAAATGCTTTAGAGCCAGTGTTTGCTTTTTCAGCTACGGTTTTGCTTTTTCAGACCAAAGACCAAAGTCATCGATCTGGCTCCATAGAAGACATGTCCATAATCACCAATGGCTCTGCTGTCCTGTCAGCACAAAACTATTTTTATCTGAGTCTCATTTCAACTTTTGGACCAAACAAAATCTAAGCACCACTGACCTTGACCAAAACATGCTGACATGTATGTAGAAAGTAAATTTTAGTACCTTTCTAGAACAGATGTCACAAAGTGCTTCACAACAAAAACAAAAATGCAACAATATGTAGAATAAATACAGTAAGAATATAGAGAAACATCCTATCTAATAAAGAGATAAGACCACTAAGATGAGGATTTGAGCAGTTTGTGTGGGGGAGTTACTTTAAGTGGTTCTGTATCACATACAGAACTTGATTTGGTGACTTAAACCTTTTGTTCACTATTAGGCACATCTCTATAAAAGTGTTAGTTAGGGACCCTTATACTCACCTGGATGGGGTTGGGCTCTACAAACGGTAACAGCGCCTCCATGGGGACGACCCAGGGTGAGATTGTTGTCCCAAAGTTCTTCCCTAAGAAAGGACCCAGAGGAACATACTCCCATGCCTGGATGTCCCTAGCTGAGAGTTAACAGATATTGCATACACAACAGGAGTAGCTAGGTTATAGTCCTGTAGTGGAAATTTGCTGTGTCAGACTATTGTCTGTAGCAGGAAGTTTGAAAAATTTGGTATCACAGATATAAAAAAAAACAAAAAAAACCAACAAACTCTAAACCAGCAGAACATCTGGAATTGTGGTGACCTGGATCCTCCTACTAAACAAAGAATACAGGTAAAAACGTTCTCGCGTAAACGTTTAGACACAAGCTTCCCATCACCTTGCAGGTACAAAGCATGTGACAAACCCAGGCTCAAAAGGAAACAACACAAAATCTGAAATGGTTTCTTTCACAACATTTGATGCTAAAGTGTACTTTAGTGCATTAGGAAAAGAGGGGATTGGATATCCTCTCCTCTCCTCTCCTCCCCCCCTTCTCTCTCCTCTTTCTCCTTTCCCCTCCCCTCCCGCTCCTCTCTTCCCATCTCCTCCGATCCCCTCCTCCCCTCCCCTCCCCTCTCCTCTCTCCTCTCCTCTCCTCCTCTCCCCCTCCCCATCCTCTCCTCTCTCCTCTCCTCTCCTCCTCTCCCCCTCCCCATCCTCTCCTCTCTCCTCCCCTCCTCTCTTATCTCCTATCCTCCCCTCCCCCTCCTCTTTTCTCTTCTCCTCTCTCTCCATCCATCTATATTCCACCACTACCTATCACTAACTTTGTGTCTCCTCTCTCCTCCCCTCCTCTCCTCTCTCCTCTTTTTTCCTCCAATCTCCTCACCTCTCCTCTCTCCTCCCCTCCTCTCCTCTTTTCTTCTCTCCTCTCCTCCCCTCCCCTCTCCTCCTCTCCTCTCTTCTCCTCCCCTCCTCTCTTATCTCCTATCCTCCCCTCCCCCTCCTCTTTTCTCTTCTCCTCTCTCTCCATCTATCTATATCCCACCACTACCCATCACTAACTTTGTGTCTCCTCTCTCCTCCCCTCCTCTCCTCCCCTTTCCTCAGATCCCCTCACCTCTCCTCTCCTCCCCTCCTCTCCTGTGTCCTGTTGCTTTTTTCTTTCCACACTGAAAATGCTGGCAGATTTGTTCACATGTTACCAAAAATTGAAACAACTCAATAATAGAGTGATTATGCACCTAAATTTAAAAGATCATCATTAGTTTTGCACAAGTATCTAATTGTGAAAGAGCGAGTTACAAGTTTTAATAAACTGTGTAGTTGTGTAAAAAGTACGTTATTTCCCTCAAATATAAGAGAATAAAAATATGAAGCAGCAGAAAATGAAAATACAAAATGAAAGCTGTTGGAAAAAGGACTGTAACATCAGGTGACCCCCAGTACAATTATTATACATTCTGTACTTGCAAAGAGTAAGCAGTTGATACCTATAATAGATATGTACTTAGATAAGTGATGACCCCTAAACGGGAAAACCCGATTTTGCTGATTGTGTGCTTTCACCAACACACTTCTCATAAGCAGTCAGGCTGCAGAGATGCAGCCATATCTGTTCCAGGAGCCAGTGATGATGCACGACTGTTAAGTCTGACTGTATAAATGTCTCTCAGGGGGACTGCCCTCTCTGAACATTTTCTTCATGCAACCATATTGTGTGTATTGAATGCTCCCTTGCTGCAAGAATAATTAAACCCTTATATTATTCACATAAGTGGCCTCGATCTGCTTTGTCTATTGTTGAAATAACCCTAATAAAAGCCAAGTACAGGTTGGTCAAAACTGTACTTAAGTACAGTAATTGAGTAAAAGTACTCTGTTACATTCCACCACTTTTGGGTTTCTTAGCTCTATAGTTAAATAAAATATTTGTTGCCAGTATTGCCCTACCCTCCTGTGTTCCCATACAGCAGGTCACCTCCACTGTGAAGATAATGAAGCAAGAGCAAGATAATCCTTCAGTTCCGGATTTACAGCCAGCCTGTTGTCAGTATCTTCCTCTGTCTGGATCAGTGGCCCTGCCCTCGTCCACTGTGAGCCTTTAACAAATGGCTTTTCAGTTAAACCACTGTGCAGGGGGAGGAGGAAAGAGGGCCATTTAGTTTACAGTTGCATGGTAGAAATGTAGTGTGGCAAATATTCATGGAGATCCTTTGGGGAGCTCCCATTCTGACCCCCTGAGGGTTTCAGCAGTCAAAAAGGAAATGAAAGCAACATCAGCACACTCTCAAGCTGCATATTCAGCAGAAATGTCACAGGCTGAAACATTTCTGTGGTGAGAAAACAACAACAGAAACTGGGGCCTACTGTAGAGAGATGCACCGGTGCAATTTGCTCCAGGATGATGCACTGTCCTTGAAAGACAGTCTGGACAATGTGCTACATTTCATGGGCAATGCACTAACTTCTAAATTACTGTCTACTTTGGGGGTCAGTTTACTGTATTACAGGGCACCCCAGATGGCCGAGAGGAGCTGAGAACAGAGATGGGCTGTGAGACCATCTTGATGCTGGAAATGCTGAGCACATGGCTGACACTGTCCCAGAAAGACCTGTTCCCATCCACATCCATAAAAACCTTTTCTGAGCATCACAAACACCATTTGGTGAAAAATCTTTGAATTTAATCCATTAGATTTGATAACATTTTAAAAGTGCCCCACAACCACCTCAGATCTTTAGTACATGCACAAACTAATCTCTATCTGGCTATCATTGCACTGGAGCATGTAATTTTTCTTGTTAAAATGGATATTTAAAGATATGAAAGCACAGAAACTGAGAAACATCACAGAAACAACTGTAATGTCATTCTGCTGTCTTAGATAACAGGCTGCTAATCTATTAACCTTAGCGCAGGGCTCATACAGACTAGTTTGTACTGAACATATCAGCTCTGACTAGCAACAGACTGAACGTAGCTGCATGAATGATGATGCAAACCAAATTCTGTGATTCAAAACAGCAACGTGATTTGACATTTCCAAATATACCCAGCCTTCATAAACAGAAAACAGTAAATTATATGTGAATGGACTTGCTGTAGCCAACCAGTAGTGGCTGTACCATGCAGGTCAGTGGAGCTGAAAGTGTGGAGACACTGTAATGAAATTTCCATTGCTGCAGTCATTCTTGCACTTCACTCTGTCACAGGCCATAAAGCAGTAATAGCTTCTGCTGTGCTTTCTGCACACAGGGCTAATATGGCCTCTGCCAAAGGACTAATAGAAGAAATAAAACCCAGTTGTGTTGAAATGCCACACACTCTACTGTAAATGACCTTCCAAAGCACAGGCAGTCAGGTTGTATTGGCTCACAAAGGATTCAGGCACTGTAGGACAGTGTGCTCCTGTGTCGAGCCGAGTAACAGAAAGGCTAAGCTCACAGGTAACAGTGACGACAGGGAGGGTGGAAGTAAATGAATGACATTTGTTTGGTATACTCTTCACAGTAAATGGGAATGAACAAATACATTTTTATATTCTGAATTATTCATATTGCTTAAGAGTTACTGAAGACTGATATATTGGACACTGGTTGTAAAGATGAGCCTCAAACGACGGGTGTTCTCCTATTCCCTACAGCTAACATCTACTCAGAGCCAGTTTGGGAGGTCTCTGAAGCTCTCGCACATGTCGACACATCAAAGTTAAAAGAAATTCAATAAATACTATTTAATTTTAGAGATTGTAATTAGGAGTAAAACTGAAGTTTTTTTTTACATTTATCTTTCACTTCACTTCAAAATGTGACTTTTAGCAATTTGATAAATATGGACCCTGGGTTCTTGGTCTTTTTGGTACTCATGTAATACTGGTTTTAAAGGCTATTGTTTATTCAATTTTTTTTATTCAATACCAGCAGGAGCTCTGCATAGTAGTCCTCTAGGTGTTTCAGATTTGTTGTCCTCTCATGAGCTCTTATGGCCGCTCTCAGTACATCAAGACAGCTCTAGTGTCAAATCAGTCCACATCCGACTCCACACATCCCTGTTATTCACAGATGGCTAATGAATTATACAGGTACAGCCAGAGTGGGGCTTTCTGGGAGGACCAGAGGCAAAATGAATTTTCCACTGATCTCTAATTGCCCAATTGGAGAAGGTTTAAGGATGACCGTTGTGATGACATGCCTCCCACCATACAATTCTGACAGTTCTAAATATATCCTGTGCTGTGGGTCTGTGAGGGTTAGGCTTAGGAACAAGCACTTCAACTTATAGACTGTGGCCAGTGGTAATGAGGATGGAGCAGCCCAAGAGATTTGATGAATAATGGTTGACAAAGTCAAGGCTTTTGCTGTCTATATCTGTAAGAGGATGACATTACACATGCTTCCAAATGACATGAAATGCAATGGCCACATTTTGTTATGTCAGCAGACTAATGTGTTTAATCTTCCCAGGACTCTTGCCTTGCTGTAGAAACTCAAACCAAATGTACAGTACATTTTATGCTGTTTTTCATTTGTCATTCATAGGGATGCATCTGCTTAGGTCTATGGATTTGGTTTTCCTTGTTCTAATCTGTAAATGTAAACAGTTGGTCCATCAGTGGAGGGATCGATGCAACTATTAAAAGTGGATAGGATGCATTTTACTGCACGTACTGTATTGACCATTGTCTATCATTGCTATACTAAAGCAGCAGACACTGCACATGTTTTGTATACAGTAAACTGCCAATGCCAGTACAGGTACCAGAGGAAGGGCTTAGTTATGTGTCACTAAAGTGCAACTTTAGGAGGACAGGGTCACCCTAAGAAGACATACCATGATTTGAGATTTGTTTGATAACTATTGCTATGTTGCTGTAATGTTGGTTTTTATTTACTTATGCTGGCAAACTGTTTGGCAGACTTACATACAGTACTGTACCACTGAGTCTGGAGTAAGGAGAATGACAGGCATGGAGCAATAGCACCATGCATATTCTTTCCAGAGATTTCCAGCTGAACCAATAAAACGCTCATGTTTTAATCTAAAACCATTTCCATATAAGCAAATCTGAAGTGACTGCATCAACATGTAGGAACAAGTATGCTTGTAACTGAGACATTACTGCTAATTAGTGCTGTTAAATTGGCATCATGTCATTGGCTTCACAGAAACAGCTCACATTCAAAGTCACACTAACTGTTCTATAAACATCAGCCCTGAAATACACATTTACTTTAGTATAAAGTCATTCAGCTCCACAATTTAACACATTTACTTCCCATTGAGCTTGTTTAAAAAAAAAAAATTGTCATGGCCAAAAGCTCCTCTAGATCAACATATCCTTTCAAATCAGCATCAAACTATTCATTTGGCAGCCCACGGCGGTTCATACAATAATATGTATTTTAGTTGCACAGAAACACCTGATTTTGAGGACATTATGCATATTACAAAATCCCAGGGCTGCCAGAATGTGAGGGAATCTCTAAGCTATCTACAAGCACATACAACATGGATGCTGTTGGCATGAGGTGTTGTGCAGAGACTCTCACCGCTCCAGTCATTCATGAGTACCATGCCAAAGATGTGTTCATGGGCTTTCCTAATGGGAATGGGCTCTCCAAGCTGATTCCCTCCCCCAACAAAGAAGGCCTGATCAGGGAAGAGAAGCTGTTTCAAACATAACAGCAATGATGTATATTTTTGTGCAGTATCACACAGACTGACAAAAGACAGCTGAGATGGGTCACTCAGGCAACACAGATATTGAAATGAAATTATTTCAAAATCTATTCAAACATTACAATCATACAACTAATTAGATAAATAAACATTGCTATCACCATTTCCAGCTCAATGTCCAACTGCTTAGATGGGCCAAATACTGGAGGTTTTGCTAAGAAAAAAGGGAAAAGTAAAAATGATTACTGTTAGTCATTAGCTCTGTGTACTTATAGCACCCACAGTGTGGATCAAAACCTGTTCTAATAGTTAGACCCTGGGATTTCACTTTGCATTTCAGAACAAAAAGCTGGTTCATACAAGGTAAGTGTTAAAGTAGCTGCTGAGGCTAATTGGCTAGATGTTCGGCCACTGAAGGGCAACGGCCCAAGCAGTGGACACAACAGTGATATTAGTAGAAACATGACTAGAAAAACCTGCCTGAGGGCCCTGCTGGGCTGTTACTGGCTCCAGGTTTAATTTGTGGTAAAATGAGCAAACAAAAATGACTGAAAGAATATGCACACTATGCTCACAGACAAAATAATTAAAAGTGGTGGAACTAGATTTAGACATAGGGAACCCTTCCAAGACAGGGTTTTTATGATAGACATGTTGACAAACACACATCCAGAACAGACAGAGCAATAGTATTATTATCATTAATTTGGAGTTGTGATTGTGTCCATCTGGTTAATATAAATCCAATAATCCCTCTCCTTTGAGTTCTGGTCTCCACTAACTCCACCAAGAGTAAAATATCTTACACTTAATCTGCTTCAAGTTAGAATCACATGTCACGGTCATGGTGGCCTCACTTCTGGCCGCCATCATGGCCTCCACATTTATGCAGTCAATGAGACACCACTGAATACAGTATAGGTCATAAATCCTGCCCCCCACGATAGCGGGTGGGTCATAAGCTGAACTAAAAATTCAAAGTACAAATCAGATCAGTTTTTTTCCCCAGAGGTGACTTCTGTGGTCATTGGTATATATTATCACACTGATCACAAGTGGTCATTTTTTTCCTGGTAAGGTTGTTTTTAATACATTATTTTATGATATAAAAGGGGTATATTTTGGATGCTTTGAGAACTTTGATCAGCAATTACTCACATCACTCAACTACTCGGTAACTACTGCGTAGAATCTGGTTGCAAAATGCCAAGATGACAGTTGCCATATTCATGATATTTTGGCTTCACTTTTGCATCATGGAAGGAAGTGGCAATGTGATGTCCATATTTAAATATGGTCAGTGATGTCATCTTTCCAGTGAAAAGGATTTAGAAGCCCAGCAGAGTGGAAATTGTCGTCAATTCATCACACTAAATCTGAAAACTTTATCTGGACAGTTGAATATCACCTGACAACTTTTTGAATATTTGACTTTTAAAATTTTCCTGCTTCAATTGTTGACTACACACCTTTCCTGCAATTTGCCTCTATTTAAATGTATAAAGGCACCATGTAATATTCCTTCTACTTTGATGCTAATGTGCCCAACACTGACAGGTACAGCTCTGATTAAGGAGTTTTTGATTTTCTTAATAAAGTAAAGAACATATTCCTAATTTCTTTATGGGAGTGCCAGTGATTTCGAGTTTGTTTACATCTGAAACAGCTGTATGAAATGTTTCGGGATTCCAGAGGAAGCTGGGTGAAATTGCCTCTCTCTGATAAAGTGATGTCACTTGTCTCAGCATCCATAATGCTAATAGTAGTGTATAGATGCCAGATTTTGGCAAGGTACCAGAATATGTGGACTAAAAAAGGAAACATCTCTGGCTCTGCTGCATTGATTTAGACCAGGGGTGCCCACACTTTTTCGCCTTGTGAGCTACTTTTCAAACGACCAAGTCAAAATGATTGACCTACACGCGCATGCACACGCACACACGCACACACACACACACACACACACACACACACACAAAATATATGTATGAATGAGTGTCGTAGTTTTTATGAACAGTCTGAAAGTGCCGCTCCACATTTCCCTTCTTCGATATAGTAATGGGGCGATTGGTAGATCAAGCAAACACATTTCAAATATAACGTATATAATAGTCCTCCTCCCATCCGGCATGGAATGTTTTTGGTACATTTTCGGTTTCTTACTTGATTCGGCCCCCCCCACTCATTTTATACCCTTTAGTAGAAAATAATTAAAAGGCTGACAAGGTAGTTTGCTCACTGGAGTTTTGCAGTAGCTTGTGGGGTTGACTGTGCATGCTTGGTGACTCGTGTCAGAAAAGACGAGATCTCAGACTGGCTGCCTGCATGTCAATCAAGTAGCAAATGCCATAGGGAGGATGGATGATAGGCTATATATGAATGATTGTCACTTTCTGCTTTTCCTGTTAGGGATCGCCACAGCGAATCGTCACACTGACCATTTGCATGTTAACATTTGGCACGTGCTTTAGGCCGGATACATCTAATTTATTTTTGAATGGCATGCGATCTACCAACACTACCTTTGAGATCGACGTATTGGGCACCCCTGATTTAGACCCTTTTTTAAACTGCCCTTTGTGAGTCTACCAGTCTTATAGGATGCAAAATGGCAGAATACTTAGACTCAGTTGGAAGGATGTAAGGGTGAACCAGTCTTGAAGATGTGTTTGCTACAAACTTTTACTCCTGTCTGATGAGGAACATTTTCATGAGTGGTGAGAGATAAATTATATGAACAATAAAGCTGAACACTTGTGAACATAAGGATCTCACTTTGGTCAGGTCTCATCTGGCCCGAGGGGCGGCGGACAGGGGTCCCAGAAACAACAACTGATGACGCTCTGCCATGGTATCCTACTGGAAGCCTCAACCTGCATAACATAATACCTTAGTTAGTGCACAGTGGGAAGGTAAAGTTCAGTTTGTTCATGGGTTGCTATGCCTAGATTGGTGTCATTCTGTTCAGTTACCGTGTAATAATGATGAGCACAAGCAAAACAGACCACATGCAAGATGTGCCTAGTGATCTCTGGGAAGTAAAATACAAAGTGCCATTCACTTGGAATGGTGTTTCTAACCACCTGTTGAATGTAAACGAACTGTGCTTTTGATTTCTACCAACTCCTGAAGAAAATATCTGGTCCTATAGCTGCAATGGTAACTGCATCTTTCTGCTGTTTGGTGATGTGCAGTGAGTTTTTAAGACCTTTTTTAATGAAAGCAGGTACCTGCTGTGAAACTCATTATAAAGTTCTGTAAAGCCGAGAGGATTTACAGACCTGGGTGATAACTCTCTGAAGGCTCATTACTATGAGCAATCTCTTTAAGATCGAGGCAAGGTCATTTGATACGTTGCTATTAAAAATGTAGTGGTTATAGCTCATTTAATGTGTAAACAACAAAACATCTGTTTCTTCTTAATATTTCCAAAATGTCCACAGTTTAAAAGTCTTTGTCTTTTGCATCAAAACAAACAAACAAACACTTATTTATGTTTTGTTGGGAAACCTCTATATACAGTAGTCATTTCCCTGCCTCTAATGCACAAGATGTGGTCCATGCTGAAGTCTGAAACCTGACATGGCTCTAACAGCCAGGAAGAACAGCCTGTCAATCAGCTGCTTAACCACAGTGCTGAGTGTCAGAGTCAGATGCCCCATCCACCTTAGCATTCCTCCCACACGGGTCCTACAGTGAATGAAGACTGTCTGTACTATGTGACTGATGCATACTCTGGGGATTCTTCCAGAGCCCTGCTGCAGTGTTTAAATGCACGCTGATGCTCTGAGGCTCAAATCAATTAGAGCAATCTTGCAGCATCCCCCCACAAATGACTGTTTGCTTCAGGTTGTCTCTTGATGTCTTCTGATGTATCAAGGCCCCTCGGCAAGCTTTTGTGTATTCTATCCATAGCTCTTAGTGTCTGTTGCTGGTTGGACTGAGAGCATACCAGTTTGGCATCAGGGCATTCTCCTTCCCACGGAACATGATGCCAACATTGGTGGCGTGATCTCTGGACGAGTAGAAGTCAGTGTAATCGCCTGTGAAAAAGAGAGAGATTCATGAAATCAACTCAATGAGCCAAACTAGACCTAACAGAAATGTAACATGTTATTAAACAGTGCCCCCTGGTGCTGCTGTGCAACAAGCTCACTTAGCTATTTCAATGCTTTTTCATTCACCATTACTAAGTAAAGAAGCAGGTTAGTTCACTTAACCCTACTAAAAATTATTATTCCTATAGCACCTGGCAGTGATACATGATTTACACCATATGTTCAAAAGTATAAAGCCACCTGCCCCCACATGTTTCAGTGTCATTCTGGTCTTTTATTTTAGACAGCAGTGTTGGTTAGTGTTTCAGCATGATTCCCCTACACACAAAGGTGGGCCTATAAATGAAGAATTTTGCCAGCTTGGTATCAAAGACCTTATATTCTAGCCCTGCATTTTGTTTGCGTGGCTGCCTGTCAGACTGTAGACCGGTCCAGCCAGCACCACCAATCAGAGGGTCAGGGCAGAGCCAGAACAGCAAAACCCCGGCCAGGAAAAGTCCCCGAAGCACACTCTGTTTTTAGAAAACCTTTTCTGTGAGCACATATGAACAGTTCAAGGCCCCCTAAATATGTATGTTTTTATATTTCTCAGCTTTCTCTTATTATTTTGAAAGGTTAAATTATAACACAAACTATCTCATTATAAAAATTAAAATAAAGGGGAAAGCTCTGATAACAGCAGTTTTAACACAGAACACAGGAGAAGCTCACCAATGTCAGCAGACAAAAGCCTCTGATGAAATAAACTGTCTCAAGAAAGGACTGACAATCAGCCAGCAAACAGATAAGGCCCGAAGCCTTTTGGAGCTTAGAATTTAATGATGTGTTTCCAGTCTACATTCTTTTACTCTCCAAAACCTTTGAAGGACATTTCTAATGACTATTTCTAAAGCAGCTAATTTGTGTGGCTCAGAAGGAATAAAACAATTTAAAAAAAACCAAAACAAAACTGAATTTACAGTTAACTAACAGGACATAAATAGCAACAGAGACAGGTTGTGGTTGACTTTCCTTTCCACAGATGTCACATGTACAGGGAAACGAAATGTTGCTTCTTATGGACCTCAATACAGCCCAGAAGAAACATTAAGGATGAATGTAAATTCATAGCTGTGTGTGCAGATTAAGGAAAGAAGATTCCATCTGGACATCCCTGCTGTGCATTGGACTCTTGTTTTTTTGATACCTTTTATTAAGTACCTGAAACACAAGTTAGACCACAGAACTGAAAATCTCCACTGAAACCAAATCTGACACTAGCAATTTTACTTTTTTTGTGTGGGTGTTTTTATAGCATATTCAGTTCTATAAAAATATACAATTAGTGATATTACCATATTGCAGTATCTCCACAGAGTAGATGACATTGATAGATATCAAGCAGCAATACACAAAGTGTAAACAAACATTATACCACACAGGGCAATGTGGCTGCACTAGGGTTGCAACTGTAGGAGAATTTCACAGTATGACAACCATCTCAGAAAACATCACAATTTCACAGCATGATGGTATATGCTATTATCAGTTACAATGACCCTTAAAGGAATGAAAACAAAAGGGTCCTTGAAAGTAACTGTGCCAGTGGAGTGACTTGGACTGCAGCATTAGTTTGACCCTAAAACTAAACAGAGTTCTAAACATGGGAAAAAGCATATAACTATTACTCAACCGTAGACCTAAACATAGATATAACTCATTTGGTAAATGGTCTTATACTTGTATAGCGCCATTCTATGCTTTTTACAGCACACTCAAAGTGCTTTCACATTATTCAGCCATTCACCCATTAGCACTCACACATTCACACACCAGTGACATCACCGGGAGCAACTGGGGGTTCAGTGTCTTGCTCAAGGACACCTCGACATGTTGACTGGACAAGCCGGGAATTGAACCGCTAATCCTCCGGTTAGGAAACGACCTGCCCTACCTCCTGGGCCA